ACCATTTCCACTCATCTCACCAAGGGAGCAATTAGGCCATAGTCAGGCTTTGCAAACCCTGCAGGCACAAAGCAGTTGCTTTTGGTTTTGCTTTGGCTAACCATAAATGCCACATCTACTTCCATTTCCTCCACAGTTTGCAATCAGCTTCTCATGAAGAAGCAACAGATCTTTACTCTTGCCTAGCAGCTGTCTGTTACAAAGCAGTTTATAAACAGAGCTCTAAGCAAGCAGAGAAAGTGAAACAGAAGTTACTAGGATCAGCATCACTGAAAACTATTGATTCTCCTGACATAAACGGCTTTGCTTTCTCACATGCTGTACAGCCATCCCACTTGTCATTTGCATGAAAAGATGAACACAGGTAAGTTTTTCGGTAAGCTTTACTACTTTTTGTTTGCTTGTAATCTTCAATGATGTTCTGTTGAATGTGAATTTAACTTTTAAACACCTTATGCCATGACTACTTTGTGCAATCAGACTTCACAGCTGGCTCATGCGCCCAGCGCTGAACCGATAGGTGCACAGAGATCACAGAGGTCTTACAGGCACAGGCTGTGATTCTTGAGAAATATTGGCAGAGCTTTCCCTTGCCCATCCATGCTGCTGTCTGCAGTCGATTTGCGCTTTCAAGTTAGCAGTAACTAGTTGTTTTGTGACATTTTGGAAGGTGAGAAATACATGATGAAAATGACCTGGCACAAAACACCCACCAGTGACCAAGAGGATAGGTCAGTAAGATCTCAGAGAAAGAAGCATCCCACCAAAAAACCAAAGAGGGAAGATCTCCTGGAATTCTACCTCCGTATGCAGGATGAAGAAAACCCACGTTCCTCTGCAAATGAGCTAGATGCCATTCCCACTCTGCCATGTCCTAACTCCTTGAGGAGAGGTAACTGGAAAATTATCTATGTGGATTCCCATCATTTGGGACAGGTTATCTTTGCTTTGATTCTTAGTGGCCTACTGAAATCTGGGCTTGTGAGAGAAAAGGTTCCCAAATTCTGCTTGCATAACTTAGATTCACTGCCACAAGGAACTTTACAGTGTGATTTTATCCAAATGTGACCTAATCAGAAAGAAAAGGAACCTTGACTGTGTAGGATGCTACATACATTGAAAAGGATTATCAGAGTTTGACCTTCTTAAGACAAAAATAAACATTCCTACTGATGTCCCCTAGAGAAAGATTTGTATTAGGAAAAAAAATGTTTTGTGTGTTTTGAATCTGGATCAGTTGACAGAGCCTGTTTACAGCAAGGCACATGACACTGACTAAGGGGGAGAGATGATGGTCTTCAGGCAAAAAGTGGACACAAAGACCATGAACACAGATTGTGTAGGAGGACAGCAGGAACAGAAAACCTAAACTGTTTCATGAGGAAAGAGGAGCATATCTTTGTTCTCCCTGAATGAAGGAGTTCAGAAGATTTTGCAGGTGCTCATATTGCCATAGGTAAGCAAACAGATGCTTGGGTTTACTGTTCTGAGTCAGTTAAAGGGGCCATGCCCAGCACAGTATAATCTTGATATTTTCAGATAAAACTAACCTTTCTATCCACAGCTAGACTCCAATAATATTTCTGTTTCATCAAACAGACATTGAAGTACTTCAGCATTTTATAAAGATGCATGAGCCACCTGGAGATGTTGTCTACGAAGAAGTTGTTATTGAGACTGAAGCTGCCAAAAAAAGAGCCAAAGTAAAATAACCTCCCTGAAGCTGTAAGCCAAATGCAAGAATAAGAAATCACCAACTAGAAGGGCTAAACAAAAATGTTTAAAATGCAATCTTCCTGCAGGTTAAGTGTGACTGTGTGGATGAGAGACAGTTGCCAAATACAAAATTCTGTTGTCAATAATCACAAGATTTTGTGGTGGAGAGTACGTAAAAGTAAATATTAATGACTATTAACTATTGTATTTCTGCTTGGGAACATAATGCTCATCTTTCATCATTTTGGAGAGATATACTCTTTTAGCTAAAAGATGTGCCAGTTCTGTCCGTGAAAATAATAACTTATTTGTCTGATCTTTCTAATTCAGTAACTGTAAAGAGCAGTTGAAACTACAACACTAGACTTATTAATATTTTTGTCCTCGGTTCTGTAGGTCTATTTAAGGCCCTCATTAATCATAATATGCATTACCAACCACAATAAATGTGCCCTTTGCTTCTTGTATATTATTAATTGTAAAGTTGAAGGCTGCATTACCTCCGAGCGAAGTTACTGGACTGCATTAGATACCTATTGCTAAGTCCAAACTGTAGGGGTCAGCTCCTGGGTTTTGTGCGTATCCAGACTGCCAGGGTGACTATGATCATCACGTGGCACAGCAGCAAGAGGGGAACCCTAGCTTCATTTTAGAAGGAGCCTGAGAAGCCCCACATTTATTTATCCATTGTGTTTGCATCATGTTTTCCCAGAGGAGAGTAGCATTCTGCTCCCAACAAAGCCATTGCCCAATGCAAACTGTTCTCCGGTATGTATCGTTTTGGTACCGTGAAATTCAGGTGAAAATGAGGACTACTCCTCCCACAACTTTCCTGCAGGGAGATGGAACTGCAGCGTATGCCCTTGGGGCACATGCCACATGTTCTACGCATTACTCAGCATATTACATATGCTCTGTGGATTTTAGCTCTTAGCTACATGTTCCATCTTTAGAACTAAAACGCCTGAATGAAAATGGCTGTTGGCTGATCACAAAGCTCTGAAGCTTAACACAAGGCCATAAATCCAGTAGTGGTGTATCCCCCCACAGTCCAGTGATGCAAGTATGAAACCTACCTACATTTTAGCATGGGAGATGCCAAACAAGAAAAGAGAGAGAAATGGATGAGCTCAGCTCCTTCAGTTGCAGGGCATCAAAGCCTGTCCCCATAGGATCCTATGATATCCCTTCTGCTGTTGAGTCCATTTTGCAGGGTCTTCCTTTTGTCCTTCATTTTCCTAGTATAAGAATTTTTCGGAGAGACACTGCTCTCAGAGGTCACATTGTTCAGCTATTTCCATCCATAAGAAGCTGTCTGGACAATCAGTCATTTTCCCTGTGTGAACAAAACCAGGGCAGTGCAACAATTCAAGTATCTATAAATAAAGTTCTAATGCTTTAATAACAGTCATTGCCTGTGGATCCACTCTCTTTAGAGACCTTATGATCAGAATCTTTGTCCATTTGGATTAGTTTTTATCATTTCCCAGTAGAATAAAAACTACAATAAAAATATTTAGTGTTTACTAAGGGAAGTTGTTCCATAGCTCTCTGAAAAAAAAGTATGTTTTGACTTTTTAGACTGTAGTTGGAAGTATAATACTTGAATCAGCAGCAGCACTAAATTTAAGAAAGCTGTAGTCTGATTAAAAATAAATTGTCCCTTTTGTGTTACAATTTATTGACAAAGAAGGCACATGGAAAGCAAGGACTTTTCATTTGGTCTAACTTGTAGAAAGTCAAAAGAGCAGAACTTGCACGTAGGCCTTGGTTTCTCCCCCCTTCCTGTAAGGATCTGACAAGGAAAGCAGCTGAGCTTCATTGGCCTCAATGATCTTAAAGGTCTTTTCCAACATAGACAATGATATGAAAGTCAGCCCACAGAAGGGCAAAGATCCATGGATTATGCCAAAGCAAGTGCAGTCCCCAGTGAAAACCTTGTGGACTGCAGAGAAAGGACGGAAAACATTTGAGTCACTCAGGTTACTCCAAGTATGTTTTCAGAGTCATTATATTCTTTCTTGTGGTTGTTAAATTAATAAAGCTAAGTCAGCAAAATAGAAATCTAGAGGAAGGTCAGGAGTGAGGTCACCCTGGGAGTAATTACTGCAACACACTGAACATGGGCACACACCTCATCTATGCAAGAAACTGACGTTAGTTAAGATTTAACTCTGTATTAGCAATATACTGCTAATTTCTGAGCATTCTGAACTATTGGCAGTGTATCTAAAATTTAGCACCTACTGCCTTACGACTGACTGTTCCTCCTATTTGAAGAGGGCAGAACAGAGGCTGCAGGCCAAAACAAACTTACCTGGTTCCTGCCCTCATGGGTCCCACTGCACTGAAAGTTACCAATACCTGAGACTTTCAAAATATATTATGTTTTGAATCAAAGCCTTTAGTAAAGTTAAAACATAAGCCCTGGGCAGTTTTTATAGGCCTTCATACAATATATTAAAATTGATTTGGGGCTTCTGGGTGCTATGGCCACATATGTTCATAAAAAAACCAGAAAAGCTGAAAAGATCTGTACATGTAAATTTAAGGACACTTACAGCTCTTATCCTTCACAGGCAGCAGGAACCACTAAGTCCTGGGAATTCAGGTCATACAAGCACATCTCATAATCATGGAATCATAGAATTTTAGGGGTTGGGATGCACCTTACAGATCATGTTTAGACCTGACTGGCTTGTAAAAGGTTTAAGGCAGAAAACTTTAGTATGTGGCATTTCTCCCATTCTGCTATTTAAATATTTTCAGTGGTATACCGAGACTGTCAATACATAAAAATAGTTTTTATTTCCCTTAGCAAATTTTGGGGTTTTTTTTTCATTTGAATTGCTTGAGGCTTTTTTTTCCTTACCATCATTAACTGCAAAGACTGAAAAACAACTTTAAATCAATTTGAAGAGACCAAGCTAACACACACACAAATAGTAACAATCTGAAACTCAACTCCTACACCACTGGCTTCAGGAAATGCAGATACATCTCTGCCACGAGGATGCCAGGATGGCAAAGCCAAATGACATCAGTTTTTAAATCTGTATCCACCTTTCCAGGAAATTTATCCCCTTCTAAAGTTTGGCAGAAAGCTACATCCATAGGTCCACATTTCAGATTCAGATGAATACAACTCCCTTAATAAGAGTCTCACCATGTGGGTGAGAGGTTTTTGTCTGGAGAAATCTAGGCAGATCTCTCCTGTCCATATAACAGAAAGCTGCTAACTGCACTGCTGACCATTTCTAGTGTTTATGTGAAGGCAGTCTAACATTATTTAACAAGTAAATAAAAACTGCAGTCGCAGTTAACTAAATTAAGCAAGTATATAAAGTGCTGGACGATGATTGTTTTTTAACTCCTTTTCTGGAAAACAGAAAGTAAGAACACTAAAGGCAACTTTCAGGAGTCAAAGATGACATGAAACTTGTGGGTTTGTCCCTAAAATGAGCAATAATGTCTGAAGAACAGAGCACTGAACTGGTGCATCATCTGGAATGAAAACTTCCACTTTAAAGATCTGATATAATTTAAAACAAATAAATACCATAATCCATAAAGTAAAATGGCACGTTTTATAGCCTGTTTAAACCTCTTGTATGGGGCTCACAGACCTGAGAATACACCCAAAGTAGCTTGTCCAAAGTATTCCTTAAAAAAGTTATAAATTATTGGTAACAGTTTCTTTTATGGAGATTGCAGGAGTAGGTCCCACATGAGTCCATATATAGCCCTTCTCTGGCCTTGTAGGAACAGTAGGGAAGGGAGATGAGCGAGACTTGAAATATTCTGAAGGCGCGTGACAAACAAATTCTAAATATTCCATTTTTCTTGGGAGATCTTCTTCTGGTCCTGGGGGGAAAAAAAAAACATAAACTCTTCAAAGACAACATTCAAAGGCATAAAACTGGAGCATGGAATTTTCAAGTGTGCAGTTTTTAAAGGGATAAAAGTGGAGTATGCAGGACTTGATGATACGCAACACCAGCCAACATGCCTTAGAGAATCCGCCTTTGCAGTCAATTACTTTCCTGGCAAAGCAGTCTCAAATGCTAGGCAAGAAACCTTTATTTTTGCTGGGCTGATCTTGTCTCTCCCTCATTTGAAGCATTCTGTTATTTGGGTGAAGTACTGTAGTTAATTTATTTTAAATATACACAATTTGTGGCCTGTCAAAAGGACTTTTCTGAATTATTAATGATTTTATCATCAGTAGCAGAACAATCTCTATGCCAGTGTTTACATACTACGTATAGTAAGCACCCAGGGTGAAGATCACCTAATTCAGGTCACTTCAAAAGAAACAACTTGCACTGGTAGATGAGAATCAAAGTTACTACCTAGTATAAACCTATTTATGGAGTAATAGTTTAGAAAGTTGGAGAACTGTAACTGTGCCCGCAAACACAGACACTCAGGTAATCGTAGTAAGATAATCACACTCACTGCAGTAGTGCTAATCACATTATATACATCATACCATGTATGATGCTAATCACATCATATACAAGACAAATAAAAAATGTTATGACAGTAAATGAGTTGCTCATTGGATCAGGGTCTAACACGTGGAACTTGCACAAATGACCTCGACAAGCTATGAAGTTCATTAAAAAAATACCACTCTGCATCATTCTAGGCACACAAGTAGCTGCACAAAGTTAAGGCTTAGAGGTTACCTATGATATAGGATGCTGGGTCGAAGCAGTCTTTGGGGCTGGCTTGTGTAGGAATGAGCCAGGTGAGCGCAGCACTTTTTTCACAGTATTGGTCCTGAATAAACCCACGGATCTGAGCGTAGTACGTTTTTCCATCCTGTTCATCAACCACTGAAACAACATCTCCAATTTGATAGTATACACCCTAGAAGACACACAAATGATACTTAAATCAAACCATCTGACTTTGCCAGCTCCACTCTAATTCTGACTCATGTCTTAAGTATCAGACCCTTAAATTCTCTCAAATTACCCCAGTCCTGAAGGACAACTTTAACTCAGCCACATGCAAAAGAACAGTGGTGTAGGAAAGAGCTGTTTCACCCAACCAGTCATCAGCACTTCTTGTGCAGTCACTCAGTGCCTAGGAGTCTGAGGCTACGACTCCTGACCACAGAGATGGTCTCATTCTGTCAAAAGCAGGAGAGTGGACCACCACCTTCTACACAAGGTAACTGTTGTGACTCCTTTGTGTGTGCAGAGAAAGCAGTTGTCTGTGTATGAACAAGTTCACTCATTTGAACACAAAGGAGTCCCAAAACACAGCTCCATCTCCTGCCACTTCCCATGGTTCTCTCTATCTAACATGTGAGGCTGTGCAACAAAGGCAACTCACTCCAATCTGCAATGGTGTCACACAGCACAATGTAGTGCCTGCACTATCAAGACCTGTTACTCAAGAATCATCCAGTAGGGTTTTGTTTTTAAAACAGATAAAAAGAACACAAAGAAACACAGCAACACAACACAGCAACATTTTCCATAAGGAGGTTAAGTAGAAGCTTTGACATATTTCTTAGGAACTTCTGGTTAAAACAGATTCATCTGAGATGCCAGGCATGGTGCATCACGTCTCTATAGAGCATATGGGATCTCTGGCTGTGCAGTCTCCCACTGGTTATCCTGACCTTTCCTTTGGGGAAAAACCCCAAACATTTCAAATCGTTTGCTTGTATTGCTGGGAAACAAAAGCAAATTTCAGAACTTCAGCGCACTGACACGTCGGCATGGTGGTAAAGCTGCCCTGAAGCACGAATGTGAGAAGCCTTTCATTGCAAGAGTCAATACATTTTGTTCCCAGGGTGTTGGAGACTGCTCCCAACAGCTCTGAAATGAGAGCCAGCTCAGATGCTGGGGCCCTGCAAACCATCCCCTCTACAGGCAATGTCTCTGTGCCTAAGGTAGGAAACAAATCTAAGTAATCAGCTCCAGTCACTTCTGCTTGACCTCTGCACAGACAAAGTTAAATGCTTAAAAATGCTGATTGCAATAATTTCTAAGGAAATCAGGTGCATCTTTTTCTTGGAAGAAAAATAACCAGGACAATGATAACTATGTAAATTACTGAGGCAAACTACCTTGCAAGACTTAATGGCAATAACCACAGCAGACCAAAATCCTACACAACTGCTAGGCAAAGAAGAGCAGTTCCTGTGAAAACATCCCTAGTGATTTCTTCGTCTGTGTTAACTCTTGAAACTGAACATAGAAACAGCAAGACCTTTTTCTGAACAAACTTGCACAAACTGAACATAGAAACAGCAAGACCTTTTTATGGCCAAATTTGCACAAACCATACCTTATAAAAGATTGATTCTGCTGTAATTATAGTGGATACAGACTCGGGAGCCTTGATGGGCTAAGAAAAGAGATAGAAACAGCAAACCAAGAGCGTTAAAACAAACAAACAAACAAACTCAGGGTGGTTTTGTTTCCTTTTAGACAACATATCGATACACACACCCCCTCTAAGAAAACTAGCAAACACAAGAAACCGGGTGCAAACATTTCAAAGACTTTTCACTTTACAACCGAACGCAGCAGTTAACATTTTCACGCCGGGGTGAAGGGGAGCACAGGGCACTGAGCCCGCGGGAGCAGCTCCTCTCTACACAGCGCTCGCCCCTGCCTTGGGGACAGTCCCCGCCGCGAGCCCCAGCGCGGCCCTCCTTACGTTTTTCAGCTTGAAGATGTGCCTCCTGCCCTTGCCCTTCGTGGACACCTTCTTCTCCGCGGCGGGCGCCGACTTGTACT